TCTCTTGTGATCCCTGTCAGAGCAGTCAGTGGTGGTAGCCGGGCGCCAGTTAGTTGTGCTGGGTTCAGTCTGGTGGAGGCTGTGGTAGTTGTGGTCCATTAGTCCTTTGGACTTATCTTTCTCTTGTGTCTTTGGTTTTCTTCCTTCTCCCTTGCTCCAGACGGGGTGAGATCAGTGGAGTATCTTGGATGGGTGCTTACAAGCTTTTAAGACCCCAGATGCTACTCACCAAAGTAGAATGTAGACCATTTTCTTTATAAACTATGTTATGCCAGTTGAGCTAGATGTTCCCCGAGACCATGGTCCCCACAGCCCTCACCCCAGTAATTTGGTCCCTCTCGGAGGTAAGAAGTATTTCTTAAAAATATTTTTTATTGTTAACCTTTCAGTATGGATTTTAGTTTATGAACAGTTTTAAATAGCATTCTTTCTATTCTAAAATACTTAATAAATCTTTTATTTTTATTTTTTTATTTCATTTAAATGAATGCTTACTTCTTACTCTGTTCTTAATTTGAGACGATTTTATGGTACCCTTAAATAACCTTAGATGAGAAGGCTTCTTGACTTTGGAGGATTTACTGCCAGTGGCTTTGTGATCCAAACCATACTGTCCCATAGGAAGCAGAGATGTATGTCTCACAAAAAAGAAATAGTGTGTGATCATGAGAAAACTCCTCAGAGCATCCATTTAATATTTTGGCTTTTCCAAATTATACACTAAATAAATATTCACACTTTAAGGATTTATTTTTAATGATTATTTTAACTATATGAATTTTTTTCTTAAATCCTTAAGCTTCCCTTTGATTCCCCTTTTTGAGTTAAAATTGAGTTAAATTTTTCCCCAAAATTCTTCTGCAGTGTTTTAATTCTAGCCATGATTGATCTGTATGTCAGCTTGTTTGTTCATTTATTTTTTGTTCAATAGTTTTTTTTTCCCCTCTCCCTACAAAATACTGTTCTAGATGCTGAAGACACTACAGTAAAACTAAACAGATAAAAATTCCTACCTTCCCATGAAAGTTATATCTGCTGATTTCATGACTTTTATTTATGTAGATATCTCATCATGGATATCAGAAAATCTGTTTTTTACAGCTCCTGTGCTAACTTTGAAGATTAGTATGTATTAGTCTCTCAAGGTAATAAATCTCCCATATCCAGAGGTAAAACCATTGTGGTTATTTGTATACGTGGGTGTTGCTGAAAGGATCAAAAGTTAATCACCAAAATATGCCTTTCCGTGGATAGTCTACACACACAGAAAGATAAATATTAGCTGGCAATGGGGCTTCTACTCTTCGGTCAGAGTTACTTCCAGGAATCCAGAAAGACAGTTTGTAACCATGTTTCTTGAATTATTTCTTATTCTTACTATTTGGCAAATTTATTTGTCTTATTTTGTCAGTCACTTCCTCTATTGCAGTAATCATGTACTATCATGCTTTATGCCATCTGACTTCCTTTATTTCTCTGCTTGCATAGCCATCAAACTTATTGAAAACTTTTGTACTCAGATGACCTCTTTGATCATCACTCAGAAGCAGATAGCCCAAATCATCTTTTGGGATCATGGATAAACATGGCCCATTTGATTCCCTCCTTGGAGTGCCCAACGCAGTTGTCTTTGTCCCACGTCTCTTGAAGTCCAGCAGCACAGTGTTTCCCAAGTTGTAGCCTTTTGGTCACAGTTCTTTTCTGTGTCACTGATGACTCATCTCAGCGTTTCCCCAATTCAAAGTTCTAAAACATCCCAAAGCCCAACTTCATCTCTGACGTAATAGATTGTTCTTGGTTTTGTGTCTCAGATCTCAGTTCTCCTAACTCTCCTAAGAATATAATTACCTGCTGAAATAAATACACATTTAATTTTTTATTATGGCTATTTTTCAGAATTTTTTCATATCCTTGAAAATATTGGATGTGCTCTAAAACCAGATTAGAAGTAAGCAATAGCTTAGAAAGCCATGTGGACATCTCTTTTTTCCTACTTGTTTCTCTCTCAACCCATAGTATTTTCCTACAGTTCTCTTTTTCCTTCTTGTCTTTGATTTTACTAGCTGTCCTCTGTTTCCCAGAGGTTTAGGCTGAGATTAATTACAGAAAATGGGCTATGGATTTGAGCTTATATATGTTAGGAAACATAATGATGTTGAGGGAATGAACAGAGTAAGATGAAGAAAGATGACAAAAACTTTTGTATTTTTTTCCTTCTCCTTAGCGTTCCCGTCCACTCTCTGCCAGTGATGCGGAAATGAAAAACCTTGTGGGCTCAGCCCGGGAGAAGGTGCCGGGAAAGTTAGGTGGTTCTGTACTTGGTCTGTCAATGGAGGAGGTAAAGAAAACTCTGTTTTAAGCCTTTGTGGGTTAACGCAGGGTTCAGTGAAAATAAGTGAGTGATTCGTAATATTCATGACAGGCTCATACCTTAAATTGAAAACAAAAGATTCAAGGTGGAAAAATTCCTTCTCAGAAAACAGCATTTAAATGGAATTTATTTCTTCCTTCATGCTTCTTTCATATTTTTGGGTCATAACTCTCTTCCTCTATCCTGTAACCACATGGATTCCAATTTCCAAAATAGGTACTCATTTTATTTTCTCTTCTCCCGTCTAGATCAAAGTTTTACGACGGGTAAAGGAGGAGAATGATCGGAGAGGTGGATTTATTCGCATATTCCCTACATCAGAGACGTGGGAAATATATGGGTGAGGTGACTACCCTTTTTTAAAAAAAATATTTAACTCAGGTCCACAGAATTGGATTAATTGTGACACTGTCATCATTGGTCTCTGCATGGCGCCTTTCTTATTTATTTTTTTATAATATGATGAACGTTACCTAACCTAAGAACTAGAGCATTAACAGTAATTTAATCTACCTATCTATTCCTCCCTTTTTTAAAATGCTCTCTCTCCCTCCTAACTAGCCTTCCAACACAGGGTTAGACACTGCCCTGAATTTTATGTTTATTATTACTTTGATGAAAAAAAAAATCGTTTTGACATTTATATTGTGCCTAAACAATGTATTGTTTATTTTTTAAGTCAACTTTGAGATCTAGTTTTACATACAATACAATGCATCCATTTTGAGTGAACAGTTTGGTGATGACTTTTGACAAATATAAATACTAATTGAACCACCACAATCAAGATAGAGAAATTTCCATCACCTCCAAAAGTCCCTTTATGCCACTTTACAGTCACGCCTCCCCCTTCTCCCAGAACCCTGAGGCTAAGACATCTACTGATCTTTCCATCACTGTAAATTAGTTTTTCTAAAATTTCATATAAATTCGATCATACAGTATATACTCTTTGCTTCTGGATTCTTTTGTTCAAAAATGATGTTTTTGAGATTTATTCATGTTGTTCTGTGATACAGTAGTTCATTCCTTATTATTGTTATGTAGTATTTTGTTGTATGAATATACCACAATTTGCTTATCTACTCACATGTTATGGAACATTTGGATTATTTCTATTTTGGGGCTGTTAGGAAGAAAGCGGATATGAACATTCATGTACAAGTTCCTGTGTGGACATATGATTTCATTTCTCTTGAGTAAATACCTAGAAGTACAATAGCTGGATCATACGATAAATGATAGTACCATTGTACATTTTTACCAACAGTGTATGATAGTGTATTCTTCATGTGTCTTCTGCTTGGGATTCATTCAGCTTCTTGGGTCTGTGAGTTTATAGTTTTCATCACATTTAGAAAAGTTTGGCTGTTGTTTCTTTAGATATTTTTGCTGTTCCTCTCCTTTCTCCTTTTGGGACTCTGGTTACATGTTAGATTGGTTGATATTGTCCCACAAGCCACAGAGCTCTGTTCATTTTCTTCAGATAATTTTTCTCTCTTTGCTTCATTTCAGATGGTTTTATATTGTTGTGTATCTCAATAAGTTCATCCATCTCTTTGTCTATAGTGTCTAATCTATTAATTCCATCTGTGAAATTTTCATTTCAGCTTTTATTTTTCATTTATAGAATTCCTGTCTTTTTCTTTTGGTGTTTTCCTTTTCTCTTTTCATTATTTCCTTTAAATCCTTGGGCATATACTATAATATTTATAATAGCTCTTTTAAAATCTATTGTGTGTTTATTCTGTTTTCTCTGCATTTCTGGGTCTGTTTCTCTTGATTGATTTTCCTCTTATGTATGAGTCACATTTTCATTTCTTCACAAAGTACAGTGTTTTTTGTTTGTTTGTTTTTAATTGGATGCTGGGCATTGTAAATGTTACGTTGAGTGTTTGGATTTTATTGCCTTCTTTAAAGGCTATTTGTTTGTTTTGTCAGACACTTAAGTTAGTTGCAGATCAACTTAATCTTTCTGAGGCTTATTTTTAAGAATTGTAAAGGTTTTGGAAGAAGGAGAGTCAGGAAAAGAGGAGGATATGGAATGTGCGGCTAATTGCTTCAATGAACAATTATCTCCTTTGCCATGAGACCAGAACTGGATGGTGCTCGGCTACCATTACTGAACATTTTGATTAAAGATGCTATAGAAAAATCCTGATCAAATTTTGAAAATGCAGAACGGAATTTCAAATTCTCATGGACTGCAAACTTTCTAGAGTCGTGGAGACTTGATGAACCCCTGAAACTGTTGCCCTGAAATAATCTTTAAACCAAAAATATCCCCTGAAGTCGTCTTAAAACGGAACAATAGTTTAGCTTAACTAAGTAAAGAAGGGCTGCCTTGAGCAATACCCTCTTTTAAGAACTATCTATATGGGATCAGATTGACTACAATAATTGGAAAGATTAGATAGGAAGCTGAGGGAGCAGTGAGTTTATGTTAATGAGGGAGGAACAACTCAGAAAAGGAGAGTGAGAATGGTTGCACAACTGGAAGAATGTAATCCGTGTCACTGGATTGTACATCTACAAACTGTTGAATTGGTGTATGTTTTGCTGTGTATATTCTTAACAACAACAAAAAATAAATAAAATTTAAATAAGAATTGTTAAGATTTTTTCAGAGTAGCCTTTCATAGGTCTAGTTTAGTTCCACCACTAAAGAGTGACTCTTATGGGTGTCTATTAAATGGACTGTCTTAGTTATCTAGTGCTGCTATAACAGAAATACCACACGTGAGTGGCTTTAACAAACAGAAATTTATTTTCTCATAGCTGAGGAAGCTAAAAGTCTGAATTCAGAGTGCCATCTCTAGGGGAAGTCTTTCTCTCACTGTCACCTCTGGAGGAGGTCCCTGTCTCTTCAGCTTCTGCTTCCTGGTTCCTTGGAGATCTACATGTTTCTTTACATCTTTCTTTCCCCATCTGTGCTCTGCTTCCTAGCTTTCTTATGTAATCTCTTTTATATCTCAAAAGAAATTGACTCAAGATGCACCCTACACTAATGCTGCCTCATTAACATGACAAAGACAACCCATTCCCAAATGAGATTATAACCACAGGCATAGAGGTTAGGATTTATAACATAACATATTTTGGGGGGACATAATTCAATATATAACACGGACCCATGTTCAATGAGATCTCTCTCTTCCGGCCTGTGATAACTCAAATGATTCGCAGCCCTGTGTGAACTCTGAGAATTATTCAGCTTACACTTTCTCATTACTTGTTCTTTGCCTCAACACTTGTTCCTTGCCTAGCCTTCTGGGCTTTCACCCTATGTCTGAGAAATTTGTTTTCACCCAAGGACAGAGGTACCCTTGTGATGATTTTTGGAATTTTCTTTTTACGTAGCTTCCTCCTCACCAGTACTTGCTCTGCAAATTCTAGCTGCCTCCTAAAATTTTGATCTTTATCTCAACTCAGAGACTGTTGGGTTTTAATTGAATTCCACCTCTTCTGCATAGTCCAGGAATTGCCTTTGGCAAAAGGGTGGGACAATTGTAGTGCTTACTTCATTTATTTCCCTTCTGTCACCAATCATAGTCCTGTGCTGCCAATTGTTTATCTAAAAACAGTTGTTTCGTATATTTTATACACTTTTATAATTGTTTATGGTAGGAGGGCGAGTCCTGGAGCAGCTGCCCTCTCATGCACAGAAGCAGAACTCTATTGTTTAGTTTTAATTTCTTTTATACTTTTTCTAAGAAACAGTGGCATGCTCCATGTACTCCTGCTATTTCCATTAAGCGTTATGTTACTAAGATTCATATTGTTGCTTATAGCTATAATTCATTCTTTTTCACTGCTTTATTATATTCTTCTTTTAATTTTTCTATTCTCCTGTTGATGGACACTTGACTTCTTGCTGATCTTTTGCTGGTAACATTACAATTTCACTTCAACTTAAAAAAAGAAGATAATGGTAAATTGTTTCCCAAAGAGACTATGTAAATTTATATTCTTATCAGTAATGCATTAGAGATCCTGTTGATCTGTATGCTCTCCAGTACTTGGTACTGCTAGATTTCTTAATTTTTGTCAATTAAAAAAAGAAAATAGTTGCTGTCGAGTCAATATCAACTCATAGCAACTCCATGTGTGTCAGTAGAATTGTGCTCCATAGGATTTGCAATGGCTGATTTTTCAGAAGTAGACTGCCAGGCATTTCTTCCCAGGCACCTCTTTTGGTTAGCAGCCAGGCATTTTAACCATTTGTACCACCCAGGGACTCCTTTTTGTCAGCTTAGTGGTATAAAAAAAAAACAAAAACCCAAACCTGTTGCCAACAAGCTGACTCAGATTCATGGCAACCGCATGCATTATGGATAGAACTGCTCCATAGGGGTTTTTTTTTTGGCTTAATCTTTACGGAAGCAGATAGCCATGGTGCCACTGGGTGGGTTCAGACCACCAATCTTTAGGTTAATAGTCAAGCGCAAAGTGTTTGCACCACCCAGGGACCATGAGTGGTATTTTGTCCTTGATTAGCATTTACCTAATTATTAATGAGGTTGAGAATCTCTACTTGTTTATAGACGACATGTCTTTCTTCTTCTGGTGGACTGGCTTTTGACCTTGCTGGAATGTTAGAGTGCAGTGGCTCTAAGGACAGAGCTAGAACTTAGAGAACTTTATTGGTTGTATGCTTGCTTGTTCTGTTTTGAAAATCCAGCTGTTCCTAGAGAAATCTTCCTTTTGTCTTGAAAATGATTCTGTCCATTTAGTTACCCCTTATAAAGACCTATGCATTCAATAGAAAGATAGTGCTTGGATTTTCTTCAAAATTAAATGGAAGGATTCTTTTTATATATTTTTTTTTAAGAATTTGATTTTTTGTACTTCCTAGAAAACAGATCTTTTAATGAATGAAAGTGGAATGCTCCACTTTTGAGTATTTTAAGAGACAGGGCCTTAATTTGAGTTCTAAGGTCTTTTAAAAAAAAAAACAAACCAAACCCATTGCCGTTGAGTTGATTCCGACTCATAGTGACCCTAGAGGACAAAGTAGAACTGCCCCATAGGTTTTCCCAGGAGCGACTGGTGGATTTAAGCTGCTGACTTTTTGGTTAGCAGCACTAGCTCTTAACCACTATGCCAGCAGGGTTTCCAGGGCTTTTAGGGGA